ACACAACTAATTCACGGGCGAATGCTCTGTTTTAGTACATGAGCTCAGTAGTTTTAGGATTTAGTTCACACTTTATAACGGTCAGTGATACTTCTGGCCGAAGCAAAATAAATTAAGGAAATGGAAGTCCGAAAATCTTTTAGTTTTAAAACCGAATCATTGTCTACCACATTCAAAGTAATATATGACGTGTTAACGATCGCTGAAGAAAAATTATAAGTATCATTTGTATGAGGGAATTTGAATAACCACGATTTACTTATTACATGCACAGGTATATTTTGTTCAAACAAAATTCATTCTTTCATTTGGAAAATCACCGATAACTTTTCGTTCGAATCTTGAAATTTGAAATTTCTAGCTCCACGACGCGCGGTTACATTTTTCTCATATTTGTTACAAAAAAGTTTGAGGTTAATGCGAAAAGTTTACTCGAACTAAACTTATGATTTCTTCAAGTTTAAAGCCGACAAGGCAACTTGCTTCTGGGAGCTTTTAAAATTTAAATTTCGGTTTGGCAAAAGTTCAATCTTTTCGACAATAACGCAGGCAAAAATAACATCTTTTAAATATTCAGCATACAAAGGTTATGAATTATTAACTAAATGTAAAACTTAAATACCATACGATCGAAAAAAAAAACGTCGTTAAAGACGGCTGGGGAATGACATTCGATGATAATTTTGGCGAGGTCAAGCCTACTACTACTACTCTTATTTAGTTTTTAACGGCTCTTACTGCCAATTGGCCTTAAGAAAGTTGTAATTTGTTTTTATATTGACTAAAAATGATTTTTAAATGGTATAGTTTAAAATTCCATTTTTTTTATCATACCGGTACCTACCCAATTTTATTCAAAGGTATATTAAAATTTATTTTTAGGTGGGTGCTTAAATCAGTTAAGTAGATATCTGATAACTAATTTAATGTATGTATTAAAAATAATAAATTAACTGAGAATGGTCCGGTATACAGGAAAAAGCCAAATTTTTAAAAAAAAATTCAAGGCGTAGTACAGGGTGTCCCATATTCGTGTGTTTTATATGGTTTCTCCTTTATGAGTAGAGATACAAAGATGATATATTCATATCACTGTGTTGTTTTTTATTAGATTAAAGATGCTACACTCAGATTTGTCCGAGCCCTCTTAGTTCCAGAAATACCGGGCGAATATTAAAAATGGATTATTTAATTTTCATACATAAATTTTAATTAACTATTTGAAATAAGTATTATTATTTTATTTCATTTAATAACAAGATGTAGAATGTGGAATGAGTTGAAGGATGGTTAATCATCTTGACCTAAAATCTATTGTGTCCCCCTTTTTTGAGTTATAACACATCATACAGTCTATAACTTATGATTTATTTATTTATATATAATCGAAAATAAATTTCTTGCAGTTTTTAGGTATATAATAAAATTATATAAGAGTTTCTTGCCTTATACTAAAATGCTAATATAGAAATTAATTCCACGCTGTGTTCGACATAATGTAGATCAACCTGCTCTCACTACCGGTTTCGGGGCCCTACCCCATCATCAGGTGAGCTTGGGTCGTTTCCACAATATGTCGAGCACAGCGCATATTTATTTATATATGGTGATCTTTCTGTTGTATGGGGGCCGGGTATTACCCATCCTCCTCTGACAACGGACGTTCATCCGCAGAGGAGTGGGTATCTACCTCCTACGAGGGTTCTGATACCAGTGCTATCCCGAATCTATAATAAAGATTATACCCGGCGTCTTTCTCTATTGCCTCATTAGATTTGAGCTCAATTCCTATTGTCGGGATCTGACCATGGCCCTTCTTCCCCGAGTTGTTAACTCGCCAACTCCATGTCCTTACATACTGGCAAAGTTTGTGTTACGTCACTGAGTGCCTCTCGGTTTTGGATGGCTTTTCATCCTGACTTTTTCTCTCCTTGCCGGAGCAGAGGTGAAATATTCTCGCTCTCTCTCTTGCCCTTTGGGGTGGAAGGTGTAAGGCCAGGCTGTTTCTTGGTTCCTTTTCATTAATCATATTTTTACGTTAAATAAATTATTTCATGTTTTTGACTACCTAATTAAACCGGCTGCCTATGATAAAATGTGAAATAGTGCATTTTACCTTGTTTATGAAAATAAGTATAGAATATATTATATTTTTAGAAAACTCATAACAAGGCAAATAAAATAAGACTAATAATATTAGAGTAACCTATTTAAAAAAAATAGTTTTCACCTTTTTGATAAGTTATGAGTTAACCGAGATACGAAAGGGTCCGAAAAATTTAAAATTTTTAAATTCGCCCTCTATTTCAGAAATCAAGGGGGCCAGGAAAAATCTGAGTGTAACATCTTTAGTTTAATAAAATAAGTAACTATGTGCAAACCTCATACTTGTAACTCTACTCATAATAGTGAAACTCTATAAGACACACGAAAATGGGGTACCCTATACATTTTATAAATACATATGGTAATGCTAGAGTTGTTCGGTAAACCATGCTAGAGTTGTTCGATAAACATAGGAGGGAGGTAACGTGGCTAGCACTACGCTTCAATCGTCTATTATTACCTCAGGATTGTGAATCCAAGTACTCATATGTAAGACCGAGTAGACTTAGAAAACTAAACTACTTCGATCTACGCCAAAGATATAGATGATAATTACATCTTCGCTGCCGGTTCTTTTATATTGATATTATATTATTGGAGCGGAGGCTATTAAAATACATTTTTTACCAGAATTGTAGTATTTTTAATAGAATTATGTAGATAAGTAGAGGAGTTTTAAAAATATAGAGGAGTTTTAAAAATTCACATTTTCGAAAAACACCCTGTAGTTCTGCAACCGTAACAGATAGAGACGTGCGGGTGTCACCTTTATGTTTGTGATGAAGACTGAGCTCTAGACATCGACATTAGTTTCTGACTATCTTCTTTAAAAATTGGAGTTTGCCTTTAAAAGTGTTCAATTTTAACCACCCTGTAAAAACACTTTAATGGTTTTTCTTCTAAAACTTTTTCATGATCTAATTTTATAACCTTCTATCCGTACGCAGTAAAACCAGCAAAAAGAATATTTAATTATTTCTTGGTGAAAATTATATAACAATACAGCCACTTTCACAAAGCAATGTAAACTCTAAACTTATGATTTTAAGCTCCCTATCAAATCCCCCTAAACTCGGTTACATAAACCAGATCGTTCTACAGATCCCCTCCCCTAGCCCCGTCGAATTTATTAATTTAATTTTGCGCTCTACAACGTAAAGTCTCATATTTTCTGAGCACTTTTACTCTGCAATTCCCCCTGAACCGACATACTATTACGTAATAAGCCCTGTCTTTCCTCCTCGTTACGGAAATCTGTCGTTTTATTATGACATTCGAGTGTCGTGTATCTTTTTCAGTTTCTTCGTTGAGCAGGGTTGTAATCGAGAGCTAAACCGTTATTTGCACTTGGCACCTTGTGAGCTATAATTTTAAGAGAAAATAATTATGTTCGGATGATCTTTTTATTTATTTCTATTTGAATGGGTAACTAGGGAATGCAATTTTGGAAATTTAAAACATAGAATTATCGGTTTACTGGCATTTTCCGGCTTTTCCTCATCAGAAACAGCAAAAAAAAACATTAAAAATTGTCAAGACTTAAATATAGACCAACTTGGCCTATGTTAAACGGGGTTGAACCGTTATTTTCACTTGATACCTGTGAGGTATGATGTTTGAGAGATGATTATACAGGCTGATCCCAATTGTATTCCGGAAACTTTGGCAGCATATTCTGCAGATAAAACTAAGCAACAAAGTTCGTATATATGTTCTAAAATGCCTAGTTTTTGAGATACAGGGTGTAGTAGGTAAGTTACATTTTTATTTCGATTTTGTCCAAATAATTTCCGAAGTAACGTGAATATTTGGATGAAAATTGGTGTCTGGGAGTTTTTTGACGTTAGTAATTTGATTTTAATGTGAGTACGACTCCTCTTCCCATTTACTTTACTTTTTTTATGTCTCTTCTTATTAATTTTTTCTTCGGCTGTACCTGTATAAAACTAATGAGTGAGTGTCTTGGTATAAATCGCTAGGAGCAACCGTTCTCAAGATAGAGAACGGTTGCTCGTAGAATGGTAATAGCCAATACATGTCATTATTGACAAAAAGTTAAATATGTTGAGTAGATAGTTATTTGACTGAAATCATAAATTTGGGAACTTTTTATTTTTTTTTAAATTAATCATAAATTTTCCTCCGAAAAAATGACGATAAAACAGTTTCTCTTGAACTTGTGGTACAAAAACATTTCAAATTTATGATTTCAGTCTAATAACTATTTTGTCAACATGTTTAATTTATGTCAATGATGACAGGTATATAACTTAGATTCTCTCCAAATATATCGAGAACCATTATTCGTAGCGATATTTACCAAGATACCTTTTTGCCCAGAAAATGTCGTATATGTATATTTTTTTAACTCGGTAGTTTTATACAGATACGGGTGAAAAGTTATTACTCTTCAAACTAGTTAAAAAAATATGTAGGTGTCGCCCTCTTGGCGTATATTGGTATCAAAATCAAATTTCTCATGTCAAAAATCTTTCAGACACAAGTCTTCATACAAACATTGACGTTATTTCAGGAATGATTTGGAAAAAATCGAATTAAAATGAAACTTCTTCACCCTGTATTTCCGAAACTAAGCATTTTAGTACCTACATTTATTCGAACTTTTTTACTTATTTTTATCCGCAGATCATGCTACCGAACTTAATTCCGGAAAACAGTTCGCACCACCATAATAAGTTAAATAATTACAGAAAGAATTCAATATGACTGACTTCACATGTGAGATTCTCCAGAAAGTTTCGATGCAAGAGGTTCTTCTGTACTTTTGCATACCGACACTTAAATATAATATTTATATTTGTTTCGTTATAGTCAAAAAAGAAAATTATTAATCATTACATTATTACATATATGCCTTATTTTTTAAGACTTACCGTTCGGTTTCCCAAGTTTTTCACTCTACAGTGCAAGAGGACAGTGTTGCCAACAAGGCCGGTGATATTCGAGTCGACAGAAGTGTCGAAATACGGTCCTGTGCCTGGTGTGGGCCATTCGTGGAGAAAGTCCCGAAATTTTTTGCCGCTGATACTCTCTTCTGCATCTGTAATAAAATGAAATATATGAATGAATTCATTTGGAAACGCAATATTTAATTTAAGTGCGTGTGTAAGTAATGATATTGTTCGTTAGTTTGTTTGAAAATTGTGAATGTAATAGCGAAAAAAGTGATATTTCTTTTCATGGTTCGCTCAAATACCGTCTTTTCGCCAAACTGTCGCATCACATCGAAGTATTGGCTCATTAAATCGACTCATTCGAGTTTGTGACTTATGCCGGAGGAAGAAAAATGCGAAGTGTTGTACATCTTATTGTACTGATACACTAAAATCGGCACCTAATAGGTACATTATTGTGATTATATATTATGCTTTTTATTTTCTTAGAATTTTTAATTTACTATCTGGACAAATTTCCCATAGTATAAGTATATGAAATCATATATATTATTTCAGTATCACAATATAGTACCTTACTAAATACTCACACACCAACTATGTCGTATTTATAGCTTATGTGTGTTTTTTTATTGAATCTCAATCCTTCTGGTAGTTGATACTGCAAAAATATAAATAAACAAATATTGCTTTAACGTACAAATCTTTTTGTAAATAATAGATTGGTTGCTGTTGAAACTACTAAAAAAGACCAGAAATAAATAACTTTTAAAGATGCTTGGCTTTCGCTGTTGGCTTACAATTTTACGCTGTGCATTAAAAAGAAATAACAGAAATAAATGAGAAAACAATGTTTTAAGTGCGAGAATGGCAAAGAAGTTTCAAAAAGTTATTTTCTCTCGTAGTACAAAGGCAATTTAAAATGGTAAATTCAGATATTTTTCAGCTAAATATGAAAATAATTTAGTAAAATAATCGAGAGAGAAAATATGTCGGGAAAGATCGTTAAACAATCAACACTTTTTTTCTTTTTCAACCTTTCATCTCCAATTATTGTACTTTAAAATAATGCAAGTTAATAGCAGTTGATTTTTTGCTATACATTCAGATGCTGTAGATATAATATGTCCTAAATAACTTATTCTTTCAACTGAAGTTGCAATTTCAATGTTGCAATTTGATTTATCTGCAAAACGATACGTTTCTGAAGCTACATACTTTATATGTAATAGAATAAAACACATTCAATTTGATATTTACAGCATTTTCGAAAAATACGAAAACGTTTAGCTATTGTTATATGAGCTATCGGGGAAATATAATATTGTGAGGGAAATAAAATCACTAATATGTGTATATACAAAAAAATAACACGGAAATCCTGTTCCTAAGTAGATGCAAAACGAAACTTGCAACGTCCGGAACGATGGATGTCGCATAATGAGGAAGCTGTAGCGGTGGCAAATAAAGGTAAAGAGTCATAGCGTATCCATTCTCCAAGACACGCAATGTTTTGCATCCGAATGCGAATTTACCGTGGCGCAGTTGAAATTGCGGTTATTTATCGACGTTGGGGGATGAAATGTGTGTGTAGAGGGAATAAGAAAAAGAAGGGGGTAAAAACAGTACTCCTCCCTCTCCTCTATAACAAACTTTGCCGAAGGTCGAGTTTCCCTTATAGAATCTCGTTCTCTTAAACTGAAAAGTGCAATAAGATATTAAAAAGCCATTTACAGAAATTTGGTTTGATCTGAATTGTATAATTTTTGTATGTATTCTTTAATATTTTAGTTTCTTTTATATTCTGGTTTCAATTAAAATTTAATATTAAGAATGATCCAAAATCACAAATTTGTTATGAGCATACCTGAAAGATGTCGGGTAAGATCGTTAAAGAATCAACACTTTTTTTCTTTTTGAGCTTTCATCTGCAATTATTGTACTTTACAATTATGTAAGTTAATGGCAGTTGAATTTTTGCTCTACTTTCAGATGCTGTAGATATAATATGTCCGAAAGTTGAATTTTCTAACTCTAAACTAACTAAATATTTCTTTTGCAACTTCTTGTTTCAAATGAAGTTTTAATTTCAATGTTGTAATTTGATTTATCAGCAAAACGATGCATTTCTAAAGTTACATACTTCATATGTGATAGAACAGAGCACACTGAATTTGTTGATCGCAGCATATTCAGAATATACGAAAACGTATAGCCATTGTTATATGACCTATCGGAAATTGTGAAGAAAATAATACCAGTGATTAGGTATATGCAGAAAATAAGGAAATTTGTCCCTAAGTTAAACCTCTAACTGGAAATGGATGCAAAATGAAATGTCCGGAACGATGGATATGGCATAATGAGGGAGCTGCAGCCATGGCAATGGAATGAGCCATAGCGTGCCCGTTCTCCAAGACACGCGATATTTTGCATTGGAATTTGAATTTACTGTTGCATAGCTGGAACTGCGATTATTTATCGACGTTGGATGAAAAAATGGGTGTAAAGGTACTAAGAAAAGAAGAAGGAGGGATAGAAGAATTACTCTTCCCTCCTCTATAATCCTCTATAACAAGCTTTCTCAAAGGTCGCGTTTCCCTCACGGAATCTCGTACGAAACGTATATGTTTCCAAAGTGCAAGCCGCCTGTGTTAAGAAGAAGTTCGCTCTGCCTGCCGACTAATTATTCAATGAAGTTTAAATACTCTCCTATCTAACGTAAATGAATTTATGTCCCACTTAGATTTTCTATTAAATTAATATATTTTTGAAATAGGGTAATTATTTTTAACTGAAAAGTGCATAATATATAGCTATTATATTTTATATTTTTTAGAAATATCAATGTGGAAAATGGATATTGAATATTCATTCAACGCTAAAGACATTCGAAAATAATAAATTGTTTGCTGTAGAAACTACTAAAATAAAGACAAATAAATAGTACCTAAAGATTCATTTAGGGGATGGCTTTTAATTTTATTATAAAGAAGTATAAAACATATTAAAACAACACAGTGTTGTTTTAATATGTAAAATGTGAACGTGTGTGTCCATTGACTATTATTGTATTTTTCTGATGATGTTCGTATGAGCAAAACACGTGTCACAGTTTAACGTTGACACCGAGACTTTGAATCTTTTTTATACTTCTTTTTAATTTAAACCAGGTCTCTTTGTGAAGAATGGACACCTTCTTTAAATTTTAATTTTATGTTGTGCATTAATAAGAGACGCAGAAATGCAAGAAAAACAAGGTTTTAAGTGCGAGAATGACAAAGCGACATGATTTGTCGCGATTGTGGATTTATAATTAGGAAGTTTTGTAAAATTCTTTTCTCTGGTACCACAAATGGAACTTTAAATGGAAACTTCAGATATTTTTCTGTAAAATATGAAAATAATTTGGTGAGATTGTGAGAAAAAATAACGCTAAAGAAACATTTTTTTTTTCTTTTTAACTCCAATTGTACATTGAAAAGATGTAATTTGAACTCTGAAAAACGATACATTTCTGAAGTTTAACTAAAATGTTATGATTATCAGATTGAATATGCTCTATTCTGCATATTTAATCTGGTAATCGCAGCATTTTCGAAGTATGCGAAAACGTTTAGTAAATGTTATATGAGCTATCAAAAATTGTAAGGAAAATAAAACCAACCGATATGGGTAGGTATATACAGTAAAAAACACGGAAATTTCTTCCTAAATTAAACCTCTTACTGGAAATGGATGCAAAACGAAATGTCCGGAACGATGGATATGGCATAATGAGGGAGCTGCAGCCGTGGCAAAGGAAGGTAAAGAGCCATAGCGTGTCCGTTCTCCAAGACACGCGATATTTTGCATTCGAATGCGAATTTACCGTGGCATAGCTGGAATTGCGATTATTTATCGATGTTGCTGGATGAAATGGGTGTAGAAGTACTAAGAACAGAATGAGGGATAGAAAACTACCCCTCCCTCTTCTATAAACCTCTATAACAAGCTTCCCCGACGGTCGCGTTTTCTTTACCGAATCTCGTACGAAACGGGCATAACTTTTTAAAGTGCAAGCCGCCTGTGTTGAAATGTGTGAAAAACAAGGTTCTAAGTTCAAGAATAACAAAGCAACATGATTTGTCGCGATTGTGGATTTATAATTAGGAATTTATGTAAATTCTTTTCTCTGGCAGTCCAAAGGGAATTTTAAATGGAAACTTCAGATATTTTTCTTCAAAATATGAAAATAATTTAGTGAGATTGTGAGAAGAAATAACGTTAAAGAAACATATTTTTTTTTTAATTTTTAACTCCAATTGTTAGTTTGGCAGTAGTAGTGTAAGTTAATAGCAGTTGGATTTTTGCTCTACGTTCAGATGCAATAGATATTATCTGTCAGAAAGCTGAATTTTCTAATTGAAATATGTTTTACTTCTTGTTTTAAGTGAAATGTTAATTTCAATGTTGTAATATTTCATTTGTCTGCAAAACTAAAAAATTCTAAAGTTCCATACTTAAAATGTTATAGAATAGGGCACATTCAATCTCATAGTAGCACCATTTTCGAAAAATACGAAAACGTTTAGCCAATGTTATATAAGCTATCGGAAATTGTAATGAAAATAGAACCTCTGAGATGGGTATATAAAGAAAAACCACGGAAATTGTTTCCTAAATTAAACCTCTTACTGGAAGTGGATGCAAAACGAAACCTGCAATGTCCGGAACGATGAATGTGACGTAATGAGGGAACTGCAGCCCTGGCAAAGGAAGGTAAATCCATAGCGTGTCGGTTTTCCAAGACACGCAATGTTTTGCATTCGAATGTGAATTTACCGTAGCACAGCAGAAATTCCGATTATTTATCGACGTTGGGGGTTGAAATGGGTGTAGAGGTACTTAGAAAAGAAGAAGGAGGGATAGAAAAACTACTCCCCCCTCCTCTATAATCCTCTATAACAAGCTTTCCCAAAGGTCGCGTTTCCCTCACGGAATCTCGTACGAAACGTACATAAATTTACGAAGTGCAAGCCGCCTGTGTTAAGAAGAAGTTCGCTTTGTGTGGCGACTAATTATTCAATGCAGTTTAAATTTACTCTCCTGTCTAACCTAAATGAATTTATGGCCCACTTAGATTTTCTAGTAAATTAATTTATTT